CTCTTGCAGGTGTTTTACCCCAAAGAAAACTTCAGTCACCCTTATTATCTGAACTTGTTATGTGAACAGGTATTTATTGGTGTATGACTTGGGGCCCCTTGCCTCTGTATTGGGAGACAAAATATTCCATAATGACACTGCATAAGCTGTCTTCACTTCTGCATCCACAGTACTATTGGTCCCTTCCTCAGGTCTATCTAGCCAAGCCCCTGCTCTCTTCTCTTTGAAACCCAGTCTGTTTTACAGCCTCAACACTCCAACACATTGAGCTGTGGAACTATCTCTGTTTCCTTCCTTTGCAGATCATCCATGACACCTTTTCTGATTCCTGCCTTCGGATCTCCAGGGAGGAGAAGCGCAAGATGAAAGATCTGCTGAGTAATTAACAGTCCCATCTTCCTTCCCTCCCTGTGCCCACTCCAGCTCTAGGCTTTAAATGAGAAACAGGCCTCCGAGCTCTTTCAGACAGGACTTAGGGCAGAGAAGTGTTTGTCACTGCAGCTGGAAAGCACATTTGCTGTGTAGTTCAGTGTAGGAACATTGATTTATTCCAGATGGTCAGAACATGCACCAGAATTTCTCTGAGACAAGAAAACTTAGTTTTCTCCCTCCACAATGAGCACATCAGAACTAAGGCATACAGATGGGATTTTGAGATGTCTTAAAATCCATCTGTCTCCTTTGGCAGAAGCCCCACGAGGAGGAGGACAGACAGTGGTGGTGGCCTGGTGTGTGCAAGTAGTGTTGGTTCTTCCCATCCCTGTCCTTTTCCCTCTGTGTGGTGTTTGCTTCCCCCAAATCACTAAGAAGGGTGTGAATGAATCTCTGGGCAGAGGAAGGCTTGACCATTTTTACTTTTCTGAGAAGACATAACCCTCTGCCTGGTGTCTCTGCTAGCGGAGTTTCGGGTTGGTGCTGATGTCCAGTCCATTCAGGAGGAGGGGATAAAGAAGAGGATTGTACTGGCTGCTCGGGATAACTGGGCCAACTATTTCTCCCGCCTTTTCCCAGTTCATGTGAGT